ATCGTACGATAATCGGCAGTTGTATGGACACTTTTAGTGTATGTGTATATTAGGCCCCATTCACACCTACAGTATATTTCAGGTCTGATTAGAGATTCCTGTGTCAGGAACTTGCGTTTTCCTGCAGCAGGAATCCCTAATCTGCCGTTTACAAGCGGCAACTATCATAAGATAATAATTATCATATGATTATTTAAGAGGGTGTGTTTAGGGGCGGAGTTAAGGCCGGGGCAGGGTAAAGGTTAGGTGAGGCAACTGGTGGCTAGTAACTTTTAAGTCCTGGCTAGTAGCTCAGGACTTGAAATTTTGAGGCCTGTTATAGTATAACATAATATATCCCCAACACATGAAACCTTTAAACTTCTCCTATAAGTATGCTAAAATACATTTGTTCTCTCTATCAAGCAAACATTTATATTTAATATTGTTATATGTAGTATGGATTAACTTAAATGTTAGATTTGTGGCTTCAGAAATAAAACAGAAAATTATTCTAACTGGCCAGACCAAGAGTGTTATTCGTTCTCTGGCATAAATGTACATGAATTGCTATATGGATGTAACCAAGCACCATCTAGATAATGCAACATATGCTTAGTGGCTTAATCCAATATTCACATACCCTTCACTGAATGTCAGATGAATTTAATAGCAGTTGGAGCGTGTAATTACATTTTTCTTATTTACTTTGCTATTATTATTATTATTGTGATCACTCATCTCTATTATTTCATAACTATGCTGACATGAGATGTAATGATGATAGACGGGAAGGAAGTGTGCTGGATAATAAATGTAAAGCCTAACCCCTCTCTATATGATGTTCTAAAGCACTACAGTGATGTAATAGACTTTGAAAAGTAACTGATTTTTTTTTTTTTAAAGAGCGTTGAAGTATCTGTAACATCCAATAGCACACATTTTGATTGCTACCATGTAGCTGTTATATAGCTGTGTATGGTGATCTAATTGACAGTGTTTAAAGTGACCGTATTTGGAGGCGTGTCAGGCCACCGATCGTAATGGTCGCAATGTAACTCCGCTCTCCTCTTCTCAGCCCTGACAGCGATGATACTCACCCAGGTGTCTCCCTGACACCTCCTATCACCCAGGTGTCTCCCTGCTATCTCCCATCGAACCAGCGGTGCCTGCCGAGATGCCAAAAAGGGGTAAAGGACTCCACAAACCGAAATAAGCTTAAGAAACGTACTCCCCTTGCCAAACTACCTTTTATCACGGACCCAACAAGGTGAAAGAAAGTATTTACTCCCACGAAAATGGCAAACATCTTTCAATTCTATTATTATTATCTCTATAATTTAAGTGAAGACCCTAATACCCCCCAACCCTCCTCTAAGGAGATACAATCCTTCTTAGGTAACCTTACCTTCCCCAACTATCTGAAACTCACTTATCATCTCTTTCTGCTCCCTTCACTACAAAAGTTTGGATCTAGAGGCCCCATTCTCACAGCTATACTATCCTTATATTTCTCTCTATGTACTAGAGTTCTCTTATCAGGTATTGTATCGGACTCCTTTCCACTCACCAATTGTATCCGTCAAGATTGCCTTTTGTCCCCACTCATCTTTGTATTATTGATGGAACCACTAGCTCATCTAATACGTACTAATCATAACATTTCCGGAATTAACATTGGCCACTCCAAACAAAATATATTCTTTTATATATAGTCTATTCGTGGATGACGTGATTTCTATTTTAACAAACCCCATCAAATCCCTCCTTGCGACATATGCCTTGCTATCTAGATATAGCAAGGTCTCTTATTATAAAGTTAACACCTACAAATCTCAAATTCTAGACCTTTTTCTTCCGCTATCTAATAAATCTCATCTAAGAACCCTATTCCCATTCTAATGGATATTTGGGCATCCAACTACCCAAATCTTCCTCAAAATGGCTCTCACCATCTCCTCCCAAACTCTCTGAAGTTATCCAACTGACGAACCTATAATGATCTTATGAACGTACAGTATATTCTCTTATTAAAATCACACATATGAGGTCTTCTATAAACAATGGTTTCAATGGCTTCAGAAGCCTTATTGCACCCTGTGACTAATTGTTTGGTTTTTGTGTGCCCTGTTTGCTTCCCACCCCATCCATCATCACTTACGTTCATTTCTGTTTCTGTACTGCACTGGCATACTACTTATCGATGTTGGTGTCTTGTACCTTTTTTTTATTTGAACTTGTACTGTAGTTTACTTACTGTTAAAATCCAATAAAGATTTATTGAAAGATAAAGTGACCGTATTTATTTTAACTACCTGTCAGGCTGTGGAGCTCACCATGTTTTCCCCCTCCCTTGCCACCCCCTGATACACCATTAAAGCTGCAATTAAAAAAAAACAGTCACAGTGCCTCCCATAATTTAGAGCTTCATGTCTAAATGGCCAAATGCCAGACCTGAGCTCTGTGGCAGTTGGACCTGCTCAGCCCTTTGTAAGTTATAACTCTCAAAAAAGGGTGCTCCAGCAGGTAACTGAGCTGCGATCATTGGCAATTTAAAGGAGAACTATGAGGTGAGTGATTTCCACTCATCCTCATAGTTACAGCCGACCTGTGACAAAGAAGCTGTCACAGGTCGGCTCTATTGATCGGGAAGTGAGCGAACACATAATGTCGCTCGCTCATTTTCCGATCATCTCCCTGCAGAGAGCGGTGACTGCCAGTCACCGCTCCCCGCAGGGATTCCCCCCTCCCCTCTCCGATCTTCCAGCACAGACTGGAGGAACGGATGGGCAGGGGGACAAAAATGTATCTTATTTGTAGCTCACTCAGCTGTAGATCCTCAAATCATCTCTGTATTGGTGCTGACACTGTCCTTCCTTCTGGAGGGTGGCTACTTTTGTTCCCCCATGGTCCCTGTGTGTTTTTGTAAAGTAGCCACCACTCCAAGCTCACTCCTGTGATGGACTATCTCATGTTTAGTTTACTAATTTGTATTGAGATTGTATTTCATCACAGGCGTGAGTTTGGAGTGGATAGCCTCCCTCCAGAAGGAAGGACAGTGTCAGCACCAATTCAGAGATGATTTGAGGATCTACAGCCGAGTGATACACAAATAGGATACATTTTTGTTAATAGTTAAGTTACTTGAATGCATTATTACTGCACAGTGAGCCGTTCTTTTAAGAAAAGGGAATGATTGCTCATAAGTGCAGAGGTTATAAAATCTCTGCAAGGGAAAAAATTAGCATGTCCAACAATAGCACATGCTGTTATCTACCTGATTATTGTAAAACATGCATTTCCTCCCTTTGGAAATCTGCACATAGACGTTTTCACTACTCATAAATTGCAAAATCAGGACAGTAGTTTGCATACAATCTGAGAGCACATTTAATACTTCTTTGGTTAGTCCTTCTTCAGCTTGAATCCCTCTTTTAAACCGTTCCCACAGTTTCATTTATCCTTTCATTTCATTTCATTTTCAATTCTTCTTTTTCTAGTTGCTTTTCACTGGTCATTACACAATACCAGAAAAGGCAGATGGAACAGAGATTAAAAAGTGAGAGAAAATGGACCCTGCTTTTTCATTTGCTTCCAGCTGACTACAATACAAATAGATGGAAACCAGCACGATGAAAACTGCACCATGCTGTTACAGAAAAGAAAACGGAAGGAAAAAAAACCTAAATGTTCACATTTATATGGATGAAGAGGTGAAAAAAAAATAAAAAATTTGTATTGTGCTGCAGTTTCTACTAAAAAATAGATATGCTTTATGGGAAGACAGAAAGATTTTGTTAGATTGATTTTTTAGGTTTAAAGTGAATAAATATAATTTTTTGTTAAAAACATTTGCATGCAGTCTTTATTTTACAAAAATGCAGTATACATTTATGACATTCACTTTGCAAAGCATGATGGTCTTTCTAATAAAAAGCCTACTGATGCCCACATGCTTGTTGGTAACCTGTGTATAACTGACAAAGCCAGATGGTCCCATCTATGCTAGGTGTTTCCCTTATGTGAGGCATTCTGCTTGCAATCTGATCTATCCTGCTCTTTCATTGCAGATCTATAAAACACGCTAATAATCTTGCTTGCAGCTCACCCGCAGAAGGCTGCAAGTGGTAAATATGATTATAAAGAATTTATTTTGCTGACCATAATAAACAAAATACATAAAACCACAATACTTAACTAATAGAATGTAAGTGCATATAATAATAATAACAATACTACTTTTCTGAGAACCAGTATTTACTGAAGGAGTACACAGTGCTCCGAGTACTCAAACAAAGTATTTGTGGATCCTCAAGTTCCCCCTTCCTATGAGCTGTAAATACTGTCTGTTCCTCCTCAAATTTGCCATCCAATGCACATATTGGGGGGAATTTATCATAGCAATTGCGAGTGTTTCAACTTGCACGGAATATATTTGATACACTTTGCACCAGATTTATGTTGCTAGTGTAATGTTGTTCATAAATTAGGTTTAATAGACTCCAGGAAAGAAGACTGATAACTCCAGGCAAAAAGCTTAACTGTCTCTTCTTGAAGAAGTGGTCATGAGGACTTCTTAAGTAGCGATTGTTTTCTTAGGTGATGCTCCAGCTTCAGACAGCTGCAGAACAGGTGCAGATGTAAACATGTGCAAAACACATGCAAAAAAAACATGCAGTTGGAAAAGTAGTGCAAGCTCTGGTCAAAACAGGGGCACATGTTAAAAGACAGATTTGCACATTAAAAAAATGATCAAAGAGGCTAAAACTGTCGCAATTGCCTTGATAAATTCCCCCCATTGTGTTTAATTTGTAACACTCAGTGCAGCAATACCAGGAAATACACAGCTACACTATCTTTCTCTAGTTACAAACACAGCACAGGACAGGACTAAGCTCTTGGTTGGCCGAGTTGATGGACAGCTTGTTTAATTAATGAACGCCTTTTTACAAGTCAAGGTCTTCACGGTTTGCTCTTTGTATGTTTATATGTGTTTACAACACAGAGGGCTGGTGACTTACCCATGAAATAGAAGGCAGCTCTGCAGACAGTGCTCCCAAAAATAAAGTCCTCCAGCAGGTTAGGAATTAGGGTAAAAGGCATGCAAAAAAGACAAAGCATGAGGTCACTGACCGCCAGCGAGAGTAAGAATATATTAGTCACTGTCCTCATCCGCTTATTCCTTATGAGTACTACGATAACCAGACTGTTCCCCATGACTCCCAGCATAAAGATCAGAGAATAGAGGAAAATCCGAACAGCTGTGTGCAAATCTGTAATACAAAAACAAGAAATGAAATGTATTGATCCCCCCCAGTAGACAGATTAAAGGGTATCTATGGTCAAAAACTAAAAATAAATCTGTATTTTTGTATTGGATTTCCAACAGTTCTACCCCACTACTAATAGCCATATCCATCTGTAAACTTACTTATTGAAGATGCCCATAGGATGTACTTCCCAAATAACTTGACACAATTTTACCCTCAACTTCTGCCTTCTGAACTACAATCTAACATCTGAACAATGTAATATTATTATTGCTTGATGGAAGCAATGCATGATGGGATATGTAATCATGAGAAATTGAAATTGCATCATGTCAAGCAGCAGGGAAAGAGACGCAAATCACACTGGGAATCCAGGAAGTTGATGAGTGATTGGCAGACAGAAGGCAGCACTCACTACATAAAACAGATTTTTTTCAAATAAGCTTTGATTGCATGTTAAAAAACAGCTGTAGTATGTATTCCTATTACAATAATTATGTTATAATAGGATAGTATATTCTGGGACTTTACAACTCCTTTAACTCCATGCAAACAGGTAAACACACAGACAAGATACATAAATGGGAGATGTTTCACCTGCCAAATGATTTGTATTTCTGCCTATCCAGTTGTTGAGATTTATAGAGCTCTACCCCATACAGTGCTGCAGGTGAAATCCATGATTGCAGATACGGCCCCTGGTAAAGCTTGGGAGAATGTATGAACACTCCACTGTAGAGTATGGAGAAGTCACTTTCAGATGAAGGTATTCTAGTTAAAACTAAAAATCCTCTTTGAATGAACTATTAAAGTGTATGAATATAAAAACTTTTCTTTTTATTCTTGTATAGAATAGGGAAGTTTTGAAAGCCTGGTCAATCCTTCTTTTTGCTATCTTTGCCTCATTAGGGAGACTTCCCTTCACTTTCCGTCCTGGCGATGCAACAGGAAGTGAGGGGAAATCTCTCCAAAGTGGGGGCAATCCAGCTGTCACCAGAATAATGACCCTCATTGAAAGATTTACTCTCAAATCCTATTTCTCCAACAGCTGTAAAAGTTTGGATTTTCCATCACTTAGGGGTCTATTCACGAAGCTGCCGAAGGATCTGGCCGTAGCTACACAGTGACAAATAGAAAGGCGGGAATCTGAAAGACAGCAATAAAACCCTTTCCCACTCTATTTTAAACTAAGAAAAAGTTTTGACTATAGATACGCTTTAATTAAATACAAAGTAGCAGGTTTTAGAACATTAGTCTCTTACCTTGACCTCTGATACCTCTATGCCCTGTTGGAACACGCTATTCCAATGCTCTTGATGCATTGGTTGCACAGTCGTACCAGCTCTATTATTGTGCCAGCTGGAGCAGTCTTTCGTCCAGGGAGAAGTTCTTAACCAGTCTTTTTTATATGGGCCATCTAAATGGGCACACATAGGCAATAGACCTGTGCCCATGAGACACTGACTTGGGGAGCAGAATGTGACGTGAAGCAATGTGTCTCTATTGCCTTTATTATATGAATTTATTTTCAAGCATTTGTACTGAGATAATTCATTTTGAGAGCCTGGTCAATCTAGTCTGCTATGACCCATGGACTTATACTGAGAGAGATGCATTGAAGTAATCATTGTGCAGTGTTATATTAAGCAACAAGCCTGTCTATGAAATTAGATTTTTCTTTTTACCAATTGTACACATATACAACATTTCCAGCTGAACTATATTACTAAACTGCAGTGTTTTCCAGCCTCATTCAATAGATGGTCAGCTTTACCCTTGTACATTTTCTCTGTTCTGTATTGAATTTGCTTTCATGACTTCCAGCTATTGAGATCAACTTCCAGCAGTGGCGAGTTAATTAATCAAAAGTTAGAAGAGTAGCTAAGCTCTTCATTATAAATGGATACGGAATACATTTCCTAGGGGGTCTAAAACAGGTATAATATCTTCTGCCAGATAGTGATATCTCTTATATGATCTTAGAAAACGGGGACTGAAGGGCTGCAGACAAAAAATAATGAAGAATTGTAATGTCCTCCGTTAGTCGATGGGCAATGTCTCTGCCTAGCCTGCTTGTGTGATACATACTGTCATATACTTTGACAGTCATGTCTATATCCCTATATCAATATACTGAATATGATGGCATGCTGAAATGGATGAAGGCAAATGCCCTTACATCCTTTTCCCATATGTAATATCATGTTACTGCAATTTACAATGGTTGCAGTTTAAAGTTGTGCATTCTTAAAGGGACATTGGAGGTGAGCAGTCACTGCATCAGTAATGAGATCGGGTGAGTATTTCTTCTTTATTTACACCCCTAGACCAAAAGGAGCACTTAGCCATTGCAGTGTGGGGCTAGCCTCACTGTATGGGGTTCATTTTTAAACATCCCGGAGTTCTTCTTTAAGCAAATCTCTATGGCAAATCACTGGTTTGCTTTAAGGGCTGCTTAGATAAGAATGACTATTCTTGCAGTCAGGTCACACCCTGACCTTTAAGCTGGCCATACACAGATTGAATTCTGGCTGCTTCCCGCTGAATGCCAAAATTTGACCTCAGGGAGATTTTTGTTGAATGAGCCTGGAGGGAAATCGTAAGCCAAACAACAAATGCAACCAATCAGACGCCGTCACTGTTTGGGAATTCTGACAGCTGCAGGAGCCAACTGTCAGAACACAATAGCTATCCAGAGAGATAGTTCCATCCACGCTCCCTCATATGGATGGGGGTTTTATGTATGTTTCTCTCATTCAGTCTGCCAAAGAAGAACGTCTTAAGGAGTATGTCCAGCTTCAGACTTGGTTTAAGACAGAAGAGGTAAAGTAGTTACTGTTGAACAGGAAGCAGAGCCTGCATAGGTAATGAATAAATATGACTGCCCCTATGTACATATATAGTTACATAGTTAGTATTTGAGGTTGAATAAAGACACTGGTCCATCAAGTTCAACCTTTGTGTGTCTGTATGTGATTGTGTGTGCGTGTGTGTGTATATGAATCACTGTGTGATCTTGTTTTACAGGTACCTGTACCCCTGTATGTTGTGGTCTCTGAGGAAAGTATCTAAATGCTTTTTCAACGATTCAATACTCTCTGCTGATACCACTGCTTGTGGCAGAGAGTTCCAGAATGTAACTGCTCTAACTGAAAAGAAGCCCCTACCCTTTGTAGTTAAATCTTTTCTCCACCAATTTTAGGTGGTGGCCTCTAGTCCTTGTTACAGAGGATATGGAGGAAATATATGATGAACATTTAAAAGAAACCTATACTATGAGCAATCTATAGGCAAATAATGTGCAGCTCCAACCCTCCAGCTGTGCTTTAACTACAAATCCCAACATGCCTCTGCCTCTGGGAGTCTTGTAACTGTCAGTCTTGCAGTGCCTCATGGCACCACAACAGCTGGGGGGCCACAGTTGTCCAGCCCTCCTACATGCCTGGCTGTTTCTTGCTTCAAGACATTTTGAGTTAATGATCCAAAAGCAAATATGTAGCCAATCTGAGTGGAGCCAGAACACCGGATCTGCATGCTTGTTCTGATCAAGTGACCCAAAGAGTTTAAAAGCTATGGGATCAGGATGACAGCTAAGCACCTAGCATTTTCACAAGCAACGACAGCCCGCGCATTTAATTCACTACAGGTTTCCGTTAAGCCGATCACATTCACACATCAATCTAAAACATACAGAGAAATCAGTATAGATAGTTAACCTGAGAAAGGAAAATGATGGCTGCAGCCCATAACAGGTCTCAGCTTTCCTTGTGGACCTATACTGGGGACATGGGACAAGCTATAGGTAGCAGCTCCAGTTCACTTTCTTACAGGTTGTATTATTCACTATCGAGTTTCCCTTTAAACCCGAAATCCAGCTTCACACCTGTGCTTTGTTAACAAGCAGTTAAGCGCGCTGTGTGCAGCCACACAGGCTGTTTTCTACAATGCGGTGCGAATTGCACCCCAATGCATGTGTACAGTAGCTGGCAGTGCGTCATCTAAGATAATGCAGGTGTGTTTCTTTTTGTAAAGGTTTGCTAACACCCCACTCCACATGAACAGGCTGCCTTAACAAATGACAATGCTTCAATGCACAATATAACACATGTACAAGTACAAAGGGGCTTAATTCTGGACTAAGAAGCCAGGCTATGACTTTAAGCTGTAGTAGTACAAGTCCCAGCCACTGACTGCTGATGCTCCCCCCAATCCAGTTTTCCCTGCAGTTGCTGAGAGCAGTCAGTACATACCTTTGGCAGGTAGAGTTGCATTGTGTGAGTAGTCCCCTAGGCAGCTGATGATAGCTCCACTGTCTGTGATCTCACAGAGAATCCCATTGTAACTTGTGTCATTGTCCACACGCAGATCATACACTGTTTCCATGATTCCCAGTCTTTGTGTGCCGGAAAGAAAGCCTCTATTCTCTGCCCATGCCTCCTGGGGGAAGATGCTGCATCAGCTGTAGGGATTCCTGATAGAGAAGTGTGTGCACTCAGTGCATTGACTGCACTCTGTCCATTGCTTGCACTCTACACACGGCATGCCTCTAGCAGTGAGGTGGGCAGCCTACGCAGCCCATAGACTCTGATAGTAGAATTCATATTGTACACTGTCCCACCCTCTGATATTATTGGTCAGGGCCAGCTCATAGCAGACTATGCAAGTCCTGTGCTTCTAGGAACACACCTTTCCTATATGTTCTTTTTTATTCTGCTCTTTATATTCAGTGTTGACCATCTGCTCTTTTTTCAAGCTACAGTTCAAAATTTTGACAACTGATCCCAGGAATGTTTTGTGACAACTTTAGCATATCAGATTTGATTCTTACAATCTTTTTTTCAGGCTTATAAACACAGCACTCCTCAAATTCATTCATGCATTTAAACACATAACTACTTTGCCTGTGATGCAAATGCACCTTAATAGGACCTTCTGCATTCATAGTACCATAAAGCAAAGAAACGGAGCACGAAAACTGTCATCCCCACTACACTAGGGATGGGCTTGATGTTTGAGTCGAGCATGAGTTCGACTCGACCATCGGCAGTTCGTGTGTTCAGCAAGCACACAAACTTTCAGGGCATTCGGCGGGCTGTTCGCCCACCGAGCTCCCCACAAGGCACTGTGCACAGCACAGTGACTTGTGAGCCCTGATTGGCTAAAGCCTTGCACCTGACCAGAGGTCAGGTGCAAGACTATGCCCAATCAGGCACATTACTCTGTAAGAACCATGATTGGGCAAAGTAATGATGACTTTGCCCAACAGGGCAGCCATCAGAAATTTTGGGGCCCCTTACACAGCTTTAGGTCTGGGCCTCCCCTCCTCATCGCCGTCCCCCACCGCCGCCACACTGAGCCAGTCACATCACAGTCTCTGTACAGAGGAGCTTACACTCTAATGTCCTCTCCCCCACAGTCACATCGCAGTCTATGTACAGAGGAGCTTAAACTCTAATGCAGAATGGCACCACTTGTAGGGGGACTACAAATCCCAGCAATACAGCAATGCAGTTTGTGCGATTTCTGCACTTTCTTTGTGCGGTTTCGGATTCGGAGGCTCATTTCCTCTGAATCCAAAACAGCATTAAAATTAGTTTCCTTTGACGAAACAAATACATTTTTTTTCCATTTTCATTTGTTTCGTCTGAACCAAATTTCTTTGCCCTGCATGTCTATTACAAACCACAGCAAACCATATCATCTGACTAGTATACAACACATATGCACAAAACATAACACACCATAACGTTAACCAGGCTGTAAAATCTAACAAAAATATATAAGAAAAGTAAACAGTCGCCCCAACAACCAATCAGATATTTAAATGTACCGTTCCCAATCTGCCCCTATACAGGATAAATTTCCTTACCGGTGCCAATAAACTTTAAAAACTAAAAAGTTCTCACCAGGGGCAGATGTGGGGGGCCCCGGACCAGATCTCAGTGGGATCTCAGTGGGCCCCTCGTGCAGCCACAGGGGCAGTAGGTCTGCCCTCCCTGTACAGGTGAAACTCGAATAATTAGAATATCGTGCAAAGTTCATTTATTTCACTAATGCAACTTAAAAGGTGAAACTAATATATGAGATAGACTCATTACATGCAAAGCAAGATAATTCAAGCCGTGATTTGTCATAATTGTGATGATTATGGCTTGCAGCTCATGAAAACCCCAAGAACCCCAAATCCACAACCTCAAAAAAGTAGATTATTACATGCAATCAATAAAACAAGGATTGTACATAGAACAATATCGGACCTCTGAAAAGTACAAGCATGCATATGTACTCAGTACTTGGTTTGGGCCCCTTTTGCAACACTTACTGCAATTACTTTTGCACGATATTCTAATTATTCGAGTTTCACCTGTATATACTGTACAGCCCTTCCCCCGCTACCTCTGGGCTCTCGCCTGCGCCGCAGTCAGACTAGGATAGTGATGGCGAATGTTTTTTAACCCGAGTGTCCAAACTGCGACGCAAAATCAATTTATTTATCTCAAAGTGCCAACATTGAAAAAACTTTAGTATTGTGTTGCAGCTTGGGCGCTCGGGTTTAAAAAATGTTCAGTATCACTGACACTGCCAAACATTTATACACTCATTAAAACACACAAATCACGCACTCATTAACCACTTGCTGCCCGGAGCAATTTCTTACATTTTCACACACATGATAAAATTTGAATTTTTGGCTAGAAAAACAGCTTCAGACCCCCAAACAATGATATATTTTCTGAAAGCAGAGGCTCTGTAGAATAAAAACATACTAGCTGCAAGTTTTTATGTAGCACGGTATTTGCACAAATGTTTATTAATCAAGTATTTTTAGGACAAAATACACTAAAACGAAATGCAGTGCACAGAAACAGAATATAATGGCTAATTTTCTGGTAAAATATAAAAGTTGGGGTCACGCCGGGCAAATAGATATTAAACATGTCAAGACTTAAAATTGCTTGAATCTGTGAAACCGCAAAAAAATACAATATCCAAAACTTCCCATAGGCGATGCTTTAAATGCTTTTATGGCTCATCAGTTTAGGGCTATTAGTGATTGATGGGCCTAGTATTATTGCTCTCACTCTGACGCTCGCGACGATATATAACATGCTTGCGTTGTATGTGCGTGGGCGTGGGGAGCGGGGGACCTTAACTGCTTGCCATCCCTCTGTTGTGAAAAAATGGACGGACAGCAAACTCACATTGGCAGGTTGCTGTAATTAGACGGCTTTTTTTTCTGCACGCGCTCGCCCTATAGTGCGTGCATGGGCAGAAAAAACCTGTCCGTTCTGAGGAGCCTTTACCGGCTGATTGACATGCCAACGATCGGCGGCCATTGTAGTGCAGTCAGGACCGGATTTACCCTCCCAGCCGCCCCAAGGCCGGGTTCGGTAATGCCCCACCCCACCGAGGGAATGCAGGGGGCTGCAGGGTTGGTTTTAATTTTTTTAGGGTTTTTTTTTTTGTTTCTCTCCTTTTTTATAATTTTTTATCACTTTTTAATTTTTTTAATTTTTATTTATCTTGTCATCTTTTACTTTTAAAAACATTTTTAACTTTTTTTTATTTATAATTATTTTCT